CATGCCAAGTGTCAACTAGCCGTTAAGGCTCTTTTCTCATTTTTCTTTTCTTTTCTTTTCTTTTTCCTCCACTTGTGGACAGTTGGGACTTGTCAATCCCTACTTGTTGCAGTTCCAGCTGACGGCCAACTCACTCATCCTCCCTCACCTCCCATTTCCTTTTCTTTTCTTTTTCTTTTTGCATGCCAAGTGTCAACTAGCCGTTAAGGCCCTTTTCTAGGCCCTTCCTTTTAGTTTTGGCCCTTCCTATTCCCAAGGGTCAGTCCGTTATTTCTCGGACTGCACTTGTGGCCTTCTCATGCCCACAAGAGCCTCCGTTTGTCTCCTTCTCTCCCAAACGGTGGGCCCCCATACTCCGATTTTCTCCCGGAGGCCTATTTTTCACATGGAGTCTCTTTTGGCTCCTTTTTCTTGGGGGAGCCCAATCTGAGATTATTCGGATTGCTCCCATGCCTCTAGCACTTGTTTTCTTTACTGTTTATTTTTCTTTTGGTCTTCCCACTTGCTCCGACTAGTGCTTGCACTAGTGGCGCAAATATTTTTGGTCGTCAAGATCTCCGATCTTGACGGTCCAACTTGCTTTAATTATTTGCACCACATGCCGCGACACCATTTCCCCTTGGGACGTCACAAGTCCCCGTCACTTGTTCCGCGCTAGTCCTCGGTACTAGTCCCGCTAGCGGTCCCCCCGGTGGTCCCACCAATACTTCTCCCGATACCTTATTTTTTTGCTTAGTCCCATGTGATCCCCGACACTTTGTCCCGCCGGTGGCCCCCGACACTTTGTCCCGTCGGTGGTCCGCGACACCTTTGTCATTTCTCTGCCTTATGGCGGCCTCCTTCCCTCATCCTTCTCGTGTCCCGTACACCGTTCTTCTGGTTTTGGCTCCCCACCCGCTCATGGCCCTTTGACCCTCTCGGTGTCGCATCCCGGTGGCTCTCTTGGCCCGACTAATCTTCTCAGTTTTCTTGATTTCTTTTCTCCCTGTGGTATACATCTTACGACACTACTTTTTTCGGTGGTCCTTCTCCTTGTCGGGGGAGAAGGGCCATCCTTACTATTTTCTTGCGGCCTTCTGCTGCTTACCCCTTCGCTAATCTTTTCCGTGGCCCTGTGGCTCCGACGACCTGGGCAACCTCCATGCCCCCTGACGCCAGTGCTTGAACACTTCCCGTCCTTCTTGCCTTCGGTTTTCTCTGTTGTGCACAAACCATCCATATACAGTCTCTCGAGTGACGGGATGTTATTCGGGACCCACCAGTCCCGAATACAGTGTCTCGAGTGACGGGATCTTATTCGGGACGTTAGTCTTGAATGCAATCAGACTCGCTTTCTTTCACACTTCACATGCATGTAAGCGGGTAGCACAGAAAACTGGCGACAAGCGCCCACTCAAAGCTCAGAGATATGGTAACCCAGAACACAGTTCAGATGCAAGCTCGCTTCAGATGGCTATGGCGTGTGAGCGCCTGTACAACTCCCTGTTCGTCACTGCGCCCTGCTCTGCTGTTCACACACACTCAACTTAGGATCACCCTGGATATCCCACACGCGACACACTGTACACACACGCACGCACACGCTACACTCTTCTCCTAGCTATGGCGGCTATGGCCACTACTACCTCTACCCCTATGACTAAGTTCTCCTTCGGCCCACTTCGTCTTCGGGCATACTGCAGACCACCTCGCACAAGTCGCTGTAGCAGCGCTTCCTCATGGCTTACACAGGAATCCATGAATGGTTGGGCGCTGCCTCTTGATTTATACTTTTGTAACTCGTTGGTCTGCCTCTTTCCCATGCCCGTGGTGCACACAGTCCCATACGGTACTTGCTTTACTGGACTAGGACTGACTGGGACTGGTACCGCTGACTCAGCAAGGGTGGACTTCACCACTTGCCCACTTGCCTCTGTCTAGACGTGAGTCAACTTCGAAAGGCCACTACAAGGACCTTCCGGAAGTCTGTAGTCCTGGCCTTTCGAATACTGTAGCAGCTACGACCTTGACCTTTCAGAAGTCCTATAGCTACGGCTTCTAGAACTCCTTAAGACCTCTATCCGATAGGTCTACAGTTCGAACTCCTACAACCTATGGACCCTACGACAGCCTACCAACTGTTACAAATACACAGGTCACGGGTTCAACTCTCGGGGTCGATGCAGGTAATGTACACAGGTAAGGCAAAGTCTAGGGATCGAGCCCTGGGATCTGCATTCGCTACTGCTTGCAGGTGAATACCATTTCACTCCCGCCGGCCTAAATTCGAGGTCCTCCGAGAACAACTCGGACCAAGGCAGGACCTTTACCTTTCTTATCTCTCTCGTAGGCTCTAACTATGTCGGGAGCTGTTTCTAGAAGTTCGGTTCTAGTAAACCAGCGGTCGTCCTCTGGTTCCTGATAAGCAAACCGGACCTTATACTGATTTTGTGGACGACTTCTACCTCCTGTTCTCAACACGTCTTCACCTACAATGCCGTCATGTCGTAACTGTTGACTTGTGATAAAGGGCAACAACTTTGACGCATGAAACACGGGGTAGGTGTGTTGGGATCTCTATTGTGTAGGACGACCCATCCTCTCCGCCCTTCTAGAACTGGCCACGGTCCCCTATATGCGGGCAGTAACTTCTGTGAGATGTTTTCCTCAGGAGCAAACTCTTTGGACTTGACCCAGACCAGGTTGCCTACTTGAAACTGTGACCGGCGACGGTGCTTGTTAGCTTGTTCTATCATTCGTTGCTGGGCCTTCCTGAGGTTTTCTACAATGGTAGCTAACTCATTCTCGCGCTGTGTCGCAAACTCTCTAGTACCGGGTGGTAGTTTGTGAATCTGGTCCCGGTTAAGTCCTTCAAACGGTCTGCGCGATCTAAAGGACTTGTGCAGCTCATTGGGAGTGCGACATGTAGCTAAGTGCAAGCTGGCGCTACCTTGGGCAATATCTCATCCCAATTGACTTGATCCGGGTCTAATGTACATACGCAAAACTTGTTGCAAGATCTTATTCATCTGTTCGGTCTGACCGTTAGTCTTGGGATGTTGACCAGACGACGTTAGCAACTTTGACCCATAGACTTTCATGAGTTCCTGCCAGTTCTGACTAGTGAACCGGGTGTCTCTATCGCTAACTATAGATAGCGGAATCTTGTGATCACTAACCCAATGGTAAAAAAACTTATGAATGACTAACTCAGTGTGTGCCTCTGCAGGCAAGGGAACAAAAACTGCATATTTGCTAAACCTATCGACTATGACCATGACTTGGTTCTTGTCGTGCCTACTTTTGACACCAGCATCCATGAAGACTGAATCTCCAGGTTGGTCAGGAATGGGCAAGGTCTAAAGAAGACCTAGAGGGGCACGCGTAGTTGTCTTATTCCTCTGGCAAACTTTGAAACTGCGAACATACTCTATGCAGTCAGCTTTCATTCCCGGCCATGTGTACGCATGCATCAGGTTGGCGAGAATCTTTTGCCAGTCGAAATATCCCTCTGTATCGTGGCATTCCCCTAAGGTCAAATTGCGGATCTCCTCACTATTGGGAGCACACAGACGGTCTACTACGTCGGTTTTCTCGAACAACAATCCGTCTACCGTGCGATAGTGTGGTTCTGTCTCTGGGGCCTCCTTAACTCTCTTGAAGAGGTCGCTATAGATAGGGTCATGCGCATACGCCTGTCTTACTTTCTCTTGCGGGTCTGTCCCTACATCCAGATAGTGGACTATAGCTCCAAAGTAGTATGATCTCCTACTTAGAGCATCCTCAACCACATCGTACTTGCCCTTGACCGGTTTGAGCTCAAAGTCATACTGGTCTATCTCAGCGGCCCACCTAGTCAACTTAGGTGTCATTTTGGCCTGTGTCTTCAGCCACCTAAGAGTCTCATGGTCTGAATACACTTTGAAGTGCCTCCTAAGCAGGTAATGTTTCCAGTGTTCTAAGACTTGCCTGAGAGCGTAGAGTTCTCTCTCGTAAGTCAAGGTAGCTACCTTCTCTGAGGGCATCCTCGCTGACATGAACTCTACGGGTCTGTAGCCATTGCCGTCGTCTTGCTGTAACACGACGCCTATACCATACTGACTCGCGTCCATGGTGACAACAAATGGCAAAGACGGATTTGCTACTTTGAGAACATGGTACTCTATCAACGCGCACTTTAACTTCGTGAGCGCGGACGTACAATCTTTGTCCCATTGCCAGATTGTTTTTTTCTTTAGCAACCGGTGAAGGGGAGCGACGATGGTCGAAAAGTTCCTTACGAACTTCCTATAGTAGTTAGCCAGACCTAAGAACGACCGCAACTCTGTTAGTGTACGGGGTGTCGGCCAATCTCTAATCGCCGCTATTTTGTTGTCCTCTGGCTTAATGCCATCTCCGTCTAAAATGTGGCCCAAGTACAAGACTTGTGTCCACTCGCACTTCTTCGCATTGATCTTGAAGTTGGCCTCTCTCAGCTTCTCCAAGACCTGCCTCAAATGACCCTGATGCTCTTGGAGGGTCTTCTGAAAACTAAGATGTCATCCAAATAAACTACGACGAATCTATCTAACCAAGGCCTAAACAAATCATTCATACATCACTGAAATGTAGCTGGCGCATTGGTCAGTCCAAAGGGCATCACTATGAACTCATAATGCCCATATCTAGTCTGGAAGGCAGTCTTGTACTGGTCCTCAGGATGGACCTCTATCTGATGATATCCGGACTTTAAATCTATCTTTGAAAAATATATGCAACCCTACACCCGATCCAGAAGATCGTCTATCATGGGCAGCGGTTCAACGTTATTTACTGTGATCGCATTTAGACCCCTATAATCTATACACATGCGTAACTCTCCCTCCTTTTGGGGGACAAATAATACTGGTGCTCCAAAAAGAGACGAACTGGGCCTAATCCAATCCTTTTCTAGGAGCTCGTCTAACTGCTTACGCAGCTCCTCTAACTCCCTCGGGGACATCATGTTGACTGCTCCCTTAGGAGTTCTACTGCCAGGCTCTATCTGTATCCGGTGTTGGATCGGCCGCGGTACTACTCCGGTCGGCGGCTCTGCTAAATCTTTAAGCTCTTCTAACAGCTTGGCGATGGTTGGATCTGTGGGTGTGTCTTCTCTAGGCTCAGTGATAGGCCTCGCATAAGCTACGAAGACTTGGTCCTCTAATTGCTCCTTTCTCAATAATCGTGCAAATGCGGGAGCACTGAGACAACAATGTGCCAGGGAGTTGTCTACTCCTGACACATGAAACAGGCGGGCAGTCTTAACCTCACCTGACGGACTAGGGAGCCTACACTCATGCTCTCTCAAATGGAGTGTGGCCCCTGCTACCTCTCCCCAGTCCATACCTAGGACTATGTCAAAAGGGAAGTCATCATGTACAAGGAGAGTCAAGGAATGGAGAACCTTCTCCACCTTCCCATCTTTTTCTAAGCGGAAATACGCCTGAACTCCCTCGACGTAGTCCTCAACACGCATCGTGCGGTTGTCTGCGAGGACACTGACTATGGGGTCTGTTAACTTTTGGACCTTTAACCCTAGCCTTAGCTTCTTCAGTGCCCTACGGCTAATATAACTGCGCGTAGCCCCTGCGTTTATAAGGGCTCCTACTTTGCTTCTAAAAACTTCTACATCTACTAACACTAGCCGTCCTTTACTTTCCTTCTTCATTTTGGCCCAGGCTGGCATCCTTTCTTTCAATTCGTCTGCCACGCCTGTGAGGGAAGTGCCTAGAGAGATGCTAACACAGGCAGTCTCTGGACAACTAAGTAGGCACTGGCCTGCAACCTCTGCCATAGGCTCATGTGGTGTGGGAGTTTCCTGGTGGTGCGCGCACGCTTCCCCACACGGCTTAGCGGTAGGGGCAGTTGCGACCCCTACTGGCGGCTCCCATTTGAACCCTGGGCAGCGAATCAGGCTTCCCTATACTTTGGACAATATCTGATAATATGGGCAGGGTCACCGCAGTAGATGCACTGCCCCTGCTCCATACGCTGTTGCCACACACGCTGGCCCAAGCCCAAGTCTTCCCAAGGCCGGCCCTGTGGCCAACCTGGGTGCCAACCTCCTCGTCTCTGAGGTGACCTTCCACCTCTGCGCTGCAGCGATCGACTAGGCCCTGAGCGATTCGGCGGGGGACCTTGACCCCTACCTCCCTCTTGACGGTTCCTTTGACCGCCAACCCCCTGTGCACCCGGACCTCGACCACCCATGGCCCGGCCCCCTTGGCCCTGGCCTCCTCTACCTTGCGGCCTCCCTCCAGCCGCGACAACAGCTCCTCCGCTAGCCCCCACTCAATCTGACTGTAGGGGACTTCGTCCGTACCACCCTCATCTAAAGTAAGGATCAGGTGATCCTTGGCCCTAACCTGACCTGAGATGGTACGTCCCTTCCACTTTTTTCCCTTGTCTAAGTCCTTATGCCAGAAAGTGGAAACTCGCATGGACTTTGCCTCAAACAGGACCACTTCTCTGCTTAACGCATCATACGTAATATTGGCATGTTGGGTCTTATGAAAGAAATGCCCTTGCAGGGGCTCTGGCATGGCACGATAAAATAAGTTAATCAATTGGGTCTCAGTGACCCCGTGGTCTGGGATGGCTACAAGGTCATCCATCACTGCCTTCAGTGCTCTTGCACTCTTCCATTGCCTGGAGTGGATTGTTTGCAGCTTATCGGAGGCCCTGACGCCCCTTGTGACGTCAGCGAACCTCTCCCGCAGGAGTTTGAGGAATGTAGGAAGAGGGGTGAGCTTAGAGTATGCAACTATATTGTGCTCACAATCGGCTGCGCGCGCAAGGGACCTGGCAAAGTTGGCCGCTTCATCCTTCACCGCATGGAATGCCACGAGGACTTGTTCCTCTGACGCAATATGTTGTAAATACACATACGTGTTGATGCTGGCCTCCCAATTATCAAAGTTATCGTCCTTTTTCCCGCTATAAGAGTCAGGAAACTTGAGCTTGACAGGCTCTTTGCAGGGACGCGCTTCGGCCTCTGCCATGGCCACTACCTTGGCGCCTTCAATGGCGCCTGAACATAACTTATCTACGCCTTCCTTCAGTCTCTTAACTTCGGTCTCGACGTGGGTCACCATGTCGCGCGCAAACTCTCTAAACCCGGTCCGAATGGAATGGAGGGTCACATCTTGGCCCTTATTAGCTTGGTACTGCTCAGTCCAGGCCTATCCCAAAATCTCTAGATAGCTCAAAATCTTGTCTAGTTTGGCCGGAATATCCTGCTGCGTTTGCACTTCTTGCTTACACGACTGTATCCTCTCCACTTCCTTGGCCATCCGGTTGGCCTCCTCCCTACTCCTCTTCTTCTCCCTTGCCAGATGCAATTTTCACTCCAATCTCTTTTCATCCTCTAGCGTCTAGCGGTCCAGGGGATCTTCCATAGCTTCCAGCTCCCTGACTACCGCTTCTTTTTCCTCTTGAGGCACATATAACATTGCCTCTTCGTCTTCTCCCAGTGATAAATTAGCCACTCGTTCGGATATCTTCTTCTCCATCCACATATCTTCGTCCTTCGTGCCACTGCTCTGTCCTCTCTCTCCTGCGCGCCTTCTGAGGAGTCCTTCTTCCAATGCTTTCTCCTCCTCTGCTGCTTCTTCTTCGACAACTCTCCTTTTCTCTTCCTCCTCCCTCTCTAATCTCATCATCTCCTCCAACTTCTTTTTCTTCGCCGCCTGCTCCTCTGCGATTGCCTTTAACTTCGCCTGCTTGAGGAGCTCCTTCTTCTTTTTTCTCTCTCTTAAAATGGCGGCGAATTGCTCCTCTTGAGCCTGGGTGTAAGGGGTAGTACTCTTCCCACTACGGGTGTCCACCATGATGTTAGGTGCACAACTGGATATTAGTTCCACTCCTCACCACTTAGACTTCTACCCCCTGACTGACACAACCTACTGACTCAATCTATGGACCACAGAATCCGGACAGAATCCTGTCAGCTAGGGTCACTAGCCTGGACCTACTCTAAGGCTGTCACTACAGGACTCTCTGTTGATCAGGAGGCATTTAAGGAGATCCCCCATAACTCCTTAGGAATTATTTAACGTCGCAAACAGGACAATGCGATCAGCAAGTCCTCTCAAGACTTAGACGGCCTGTTGTGCAGCCCACAGCTCGGATTTTGGGCCTACCTTGCCACACTGAGCAGCCCACCGGTCAGTACCGGTCCTTGGGAGGGTTCGTGTCCTCCGGGACAGTCGAGTCGTCAGACACAGTCTTTAGCCCTACTCAACCCGTGTGGGTTTGGTCAACAAGGCCCTATCCTTCATCCACAGAGTCCTATCACCTGGACAGAAGAGACTCGATGCAGAAATAAGAGACAGACTGACTTGACTCAGCAAGTACCACAGAGTGTGTGCACATCCATAGGGCGAGGGGATAGGCTTGAAGGCTTGGCGAGATTATACCCGCTCCAGCTTGGTCAAAGTCGTGGTCAACAGTCTTGGTCAACGCCTTAGTCAATGCTGGTCTGCACCCTGGTCAACACTGTGGTCAACCCCGGTCAACTTCCCGGTCAACTCCGGTCAACTCAGCCGGTCAACTCTTCACCCGGCTATGTCTGCCGCCTTTTTTCTTCCTCACCAACCTTCTTCTTCTTCCTCCTTCCTTTCTCCTTTCTCGCCTCTATCTTCCACTCCGGCTATCTTCTTTCTTTCTCTCCTTTTTTTTTTTTTTTTTTTTTTTTGTCTGTCTCTCCCTTCACCTTCCTCGGCTACGGCTTCCTCACTCTTCTCGGGGTCTCCCTCCTTCTCTCACTTCAGCTCCTCCCTTCGTCAACTCTGTGTCCGAGCTCGGCGGCTATGGCCGCCACTTCATTTCGTTGGACCGCACAACGCTCTTCAACAGGTATGTGACAACCAATCTTGTATCGCTCAATCTCTCTCTCTCTCTCTCTCTCTCTCTCTCTCTCTCTCTCTCTCTCTCTCTCTCTC